TTGGCCTCCCACTAACTTCAAATTTTGGTTTTGCAGCTTCTAAGGTTTTCTCATTTCTACATTGGCATGTTGGCTTCTTTAAAGTTTTTGTCTATCACCTAAGTGAAAGGGATGAGTTATTCCTTTGGGCAGCAAAATAATATGGAAATAAATAAGATAGAGCCTGCTTAGGTATTTATATAGATATAAATGACAGTGTAATTTAAGTGAAAAATATCCCATATGAACATGTTAGAACATAAAAGAAAATTATTTACCACAGCATTCAAGGCCTTCATGTCTTGTCCCTATATGTGTTTTAGTTCCATCTTATAATCATGCCTCTTTCATAGTCACCATAATCCAAGCGCAAAATCAAACCCAGTGGTGTGCAAAGCAGAAGTGGCAAAGTGTGATTGTCAATGGGTAGTTTATGTAAAACATTGGAGTCTGTTACTTGGTACGTAACCAAACAACATTAACACCAGATAAACATGTCAATTTTATATTGACGTCTTCAGAAAGCAGATCCTGAGACTGGGGCCTTACTAACAGGCAGTTTATTTGGGAAGCGGAACCAAGAAGCAATTGTATGAGACCAGGAAGGGTAAGAGAACAGGCAGGGAAGGAGGAAAGGATATGCTATTGAGGTTGCCACTATAGGCAACAGGAGCTTAAGGACCACTGAGAAGGCATATAATGCCTTCCAGCATTGCCTGGCCAATGGAGGGAGGCTGGGGTTTTATCCAGCAGCTCCCTTCCCAATTGGTTGAAGGTTGCTCCCAGTGGTGTTGGCTCCTCAGAAATTCTAGCCCATTTGTACTTGGGCTTAGAATCTTACAGTGTCTTGGAGCAGGCCCCAAGAAGGAATAACAGAGAGAAGCATGGAGTGCACTCAAGGTGGGATGTCTTCAGAGGACTTGGATCTGTTCCCCACAGCAAGAGCTGAAATCAGAGACAGGTGCAGAGCATGAGATGTAAAGCGGCAAGCGCCTCTCATGTAGTCCGTAATCATAGCTATGAATGTGATGGTGAATGATCAGGAATCAGCAAGATAGACAATACAGTGAGAAAATTGTGGTTTGGTTGCATTAATTGTGCTGTTTATTGTTTGCATGGCTTAAGATGCTCTCAAAACAAAAGATATTTTCCTGCCTGCTAACTGTGTGCTACCTCCTAAAGGCATCATTCATGTCTAGCACAAGTCACCAATTTCTGTCCATTTTATCATTCTATTTTATTCTTTTTGTCTTAATTTGTTATTTTTGCCAAAAATCCTTTCCATTACCTTCATTGTACTCAATGAGATCTTATTTCAGTCCTCAATCTACCACTGTCCTAGTAACACTAAGTACTTGTGATATCCTGAGAATCCTTCTATTCTCTTTGCTTTTTTATAGTCTCTATTCCTAGAATGTTATACTTTCTATTTCCTGTTCAGCTTTTAAAATGGAATACATATATTTCATTCTTGCTAAAGCTGTGTTCACCATGACAATCAGTGTAAATTTTCTCATTCCTTTTTTTTTTAAAATTAAAGATACTCATAAAACTCTTTGTGCATTTCTCACTCCTGAATAGTTACCCTGTCTTTTTCACTCTGACATTCCTCAGGTTGCCTAGAAGGGTGCCTTGCCCTTAGGCAGCTCAAAATGCATTTGTTAATTTGAATGAATGTACAATTACAGAACAGAAGATTTATTGTGCTCATTATATTTGACATTATATTATGTCAGGTAATTTTAGCCTATTTTCCAACAGAATTTTGAAGACATTGGCATCAAACTTATTTGGAAGCTCATTTTCCAGTCCTAGGCTTGTCCTACTGAACATAATACCACACATATGTGGTACACCTTTTCTCATTTAATGTGTTATGTAGCTAGCAACATGCCTTACAAAATGCAAAAAAAAAAAGTTGCTCCTAATTTGGTTTAGTTTTTTTAAAAAAAATAATTTAGCCAAAGAGTTCATTTATTTATTCTGTAATTAGGAGTAAATTGGCTGTACCTTGAGTCTCATCTTTGTAATATATTTTAACATTTGTGTATGGAATAAAGGATTGATTTGATACCTGGGGAAAATATAGTTGAAAACCTTCAAAAATAATAAAAAGAAGGAACAGGGAGTAAAGACCATTAAAATGAAGGTAAGACAAAAGGTAGTATCACAGAGGGAGAGGAACAGACCATAGCAAATGTCTGCAGCCCTGGAAGAATATTGTTATAATTATTTATTTAAGTATTTACAAAAATTGGCACAATGTGCAACAATTGTTATTCATCTCCCTAGATTTTTTGTATGATGATAGATCAAAATATTGTTTTCAAGCACAAGAGGACAATTTGACTTTCTGCATATAGTTGCAGATGGGAAAAACATCAAAGTCTTTTATATGAGAAACAATCCCTCTTTAAAACTGTTTTGATATAGTTGATATGAAGTCTTGCTTCTTCATGTCCCAAATTACTAAACATAAGTTTATTCTCGCTGTCTCTGCACCCTTGTCTCCCATTTATTCTTCAGATCATAGCAAAACCTGCTCCAACTTTTCCAGGATTACTCTAAATTTTCAGCAGGGACTTGTTAGTGGTCCAATCCAATAGACAAGTCTTGGTTATTTTCATTTAATTTATCTTTAAAATTAGATTTGGAAGCCTATTATCTTTTTGAAATCTACTTGCTGTCAGTCTCCTAGTTAACTTCCTTTATTATAATATTTAATGACTCACTTTTCCACTGGATTATAAAGAAACATGCAGTTCCACCTTGACATTTTTCACAACCTTGCTCTTGGTAGAAATGTAAAGAATGGTGTTTAGAATATCTGTTGAATTGAATCAAATAGAAAAGAAGATTCAACAAGTTCATAATGTGGGTATTATAATTGTATTTGCTACAATAACTTTATCTGAAGAGCACTGACACAGAGATTTATTTGAAAGTTTCTCCTTTATATGTTCTTTGGTTGGGCCATGGACACAAACAGTGTGGTGATGGCCAGAGGGAGGGTTGGGGCTGGGTGGAGGTAGGTAAAGGGGTTGAGGATTGTGGACATCTGCAAGAGTGTCAACAGTAAATTTTTAAGTTTTTCCTTTAATTGTTTGGCCATTTGCTCTCATCATCTCAGTCTCCTTTTTTAGGTTTTACTCTTTCATCTCCATGACTCCCATAAATGGTACTATTTCTTTTTTTAAAATATGTTTTTATTGATTTCAGAGAGGAAGGGAGAGGGAGAGAAAGATAGAAACATCAATGATGAGAGAAAATCATTAATCGGCTGCCTCCTGCTGGGGATCAAGCCTGCAACCCAGGCACATGCCCTGTTGGGGAATCGAACCACTTGTGCCCTCCTGGTCCATACATAGATGCTTAACCACTGAGCTACACCAGCCTGGCAAATGTTATGATTTCCTAGGATTTTATTTTCTAACATATTCTCACTGTGAGTATCTCTCTCCATGATCCTGTCCACCTCCTTGGCTTAAATTGCCTCCCATATGTTTGATGGCTTTCAATTGCATACCTGTAGTGCTGATCTTTTTGCTCTCCTTCTATATGTTCTGGTTACAATGAAAGAAGAAAAGGATGAAGGGGAGAAACTGTTACTTAAAACAGTTCCCCTTCTGAGAGATTCCTTCTACTTTTATGTCTCCGGAACTAGTACTACTCGTAGTTCCCAGTTCAAGTGCTAACTTATGATTTCTTGCCTGACTTCCTCAGCTCATTCTTTATGGAAGTCAAAGACATTGGTCATTCACTCTCTTTGCCTTGTAACCCCTTAGTACTCTACACCCTGTCCTGTAAGTGCTCAGTAAATATTAATTAGTTGTCATTAGTGATTTGCCTTTCTGCATACTAAGTAGAATTTTTCCTACAGCCTTTGTGAAATTGTTGGTAGCCGGAAAATTTCACAGTTCTGAGCAAGTTTGACTGTCTTAGGCAGAGGTATTTTTCTCTCAGAAATCTATAATTATTATGGATTCATTTTTCTAAATGAAAGAGAGAATGTACTCTTTTTTATGTAGCTACATCATTCAACCCCTTTAAAGTGTATTATTATATCTCATGTAATCCAAAACTAGATTAAGTGTCTATTATTTTTTTAAAAAAAACACCTAAAATATAATTTTCACAAAAGGCAAATTACAAATTTCCTGTTTAATAGGAATTCACTTCTATATTTTATTGTATAGAGATTATTAATGTAAATGAGGAGGTGATCAAAAAACTCTGGGGCATTCATACTCATTGAAATTGTTAATGAAACATTTCATGATATTGTGATCCTTAAGGCTTCAATATTATATAGATTCCATTTATTAATTTTCTAATGCAGTTTTAAATTCCTGGAACTATCTGCTGAGTAGAGTAATTGCCTGATTGTCATTTATAAGCTTATACATAATCTAATTTAAAGGAACTAATTGTAGCAGAATGTTACACTTGTTTAATAATTTAAGGTGTGAGGGCAAGAACAATTAATGCAAATGAAGAAAATTGGACATCACACTCATTTATTATTCTCTTTGCTCTATTAATCTATTATCAACTGGCATAATCAGTGATCTAACTTGGTTGAATTACCATGAAGTCTACAATTTAGCTAATCAAAATTTATCAGTTCCTCCAACAAGGTAGAAAACATTTCATAATTTTGTAATTATGAAAATACATGATGTACAATGTTGTTTGTACATGTGCATAAACATTATAATAGGTCAATTTCTTGAAGGAAAAAATGAAGTATTATCACTTATAATCTGACTTCTGGGATAAATACAATTAAAGAAAAAATTAGTGACTTTTGCGAGCAAGAGAGCTATTGCTCGATGATATTTTCTTCAATATATGGCTTGTTTTAGGTTTGTAAGTGACATACATACACAGTCATAAACATGACTTTTGGGATTGTGCAAAAAATATATAAAATTTTGTAGCTACTGAGCTTGTAAAACTACAAAATAACTTGAACTCTTTCCTGACTTTAAAAAAAGCATGAATTTTCTGTTTCTTCTCAGCTCCGTAAGGCTATTATAGATCATGTGTCAGACTCCTTTCTGGATACGACAGTCCCACTTTTGGTTCTCATCGAAGCTGCCAAGAATGGTCGAGAAAAGGAAATAAAAGAATATGCTGCGATATTTCGTGAACACACCAACAGGCTTGTAGAAGTAAGTGTGCTAGAATTTTAACTATTCTACATATGGGAGAATGAGGCCTTCATTCCCCATTTACAATCAAATTATACTTAAATAACATCTAAGAACTTATTACTAATGGAGCAGAGTTGGGCCAAGGTAATATAGAGGTATATATGTCAAACTGTATAAACCATTCCCCAATGGCTGGGAAAATGAGCAATTTATTTAGAAAGAGCTATGAAACTATAATCAATATTTTTAAATGACTTTTTTTTTCAGAGCTACACAAATAAGCTGGTTAAATGCAGATACTTTGTTCTATCCTTATAAATATTATTCCATTAAAACTTAAAAGTATCAAATATTCTATCTCATGCTAATTTTTTCTACCATATTTTCATGGCTGAATTACTCCTTCAGCTTTTCATTAATATTCCACTATATAACGTGACTATAGAACAAGAACGTAGGATATATAGAGGTAGAGGGTTCCAGAGTAATTAAGTACTGTTTAGTGGACTGGTCCATGTCTTAGGTGGGGCAAGAGGAGATGATAAAACTTAATTTCCTCCTACTTATAAAGTGAAAACATTGAAATGCTCCATGATTTGGGAGACAGGGTGGCATATGTTCCAGGAACCATGAAGGGCTGGGTGATTCTCAGGAGACACATAATAGAACCTATTGTATTATGGGCATCAAAATGCAGTCACAGTATAAGGAAGAGCCTGACTGGGAGAATTTCCAATACCCAGTAATGTGACAGTCTTCACAGGGCTGGGAACCAGTGGCAGGAAGGGGTAAATGTGATTGACCACATCCGTATACCAGAGAGATATACTGCTGGTGCCCATCAGTATGACTGTGCCAATTGTGAAGGCTAGTGTCTATTGTCATTGTCAGTGCCCATGCCATACTGGTTATTGAAGTTTTAGATTGTCATACCTTCCTAAACTGGCTGTGAACACTGGTGTAATATGTGTTTGGGGGCCCAAATTGCTTGTAAACCTTGTGTTAGAAATAGTCACCATCTGGATTAGAATCACAGCTTTTGATATAGCATATACTAATATATAGGGCTTTACCAACCTCTTTAATGTGGGTCCACTGGAAAGGGAGTTTCTAATATGGCTAGCACTTGTGCTATAAGTTCTCTGAATCCCAGTCTTCACATCTCAAAACTGAAAGGAGTTGATAAATGAATGATTGCTAAGAACACATCAGACCTAAATCTTCCCCACCTTTAACTTTGACATGTCCTTTGAACTTGCCAGAATTCCACGAGATAGGGCAAGGTTACAATTCCCCTTGGCCTTATCCATACTAATAATAGGGTAATATGCTAATTAAGGTGGATGTCTTCCAGAGGACAGTCCGGACGTCCTTCCGGACAAAGCCGCAGCGGCTGCCTGAGGCTCAGGCAAATTGCGGACGGCAACTGCTGCTGCCCAGGGCTGGCCCGAGGATCAGGCAAGCCTCGGATGGCGGCTGCCGCTGCAAGGGCCAGCCTGAGGCTCAGGCAGCTACATCTGGCTGTGAGGCCTGAGGTTCAGGCAGCCATGGTGGCCGCCATTGGCAGCAACAGTGGGGTGATGGAGACGGTGCCTTCCCCTGATCGGCTAGGTCGCTTCCGGCAGAGGAAGGCCAGACTGTGGCTTAGGCTGGGGGCCGAGGCAGAGGCGGTTAGGGGCGATCAGGCTAGCAGGGGCCAAGGGAGGGGCAATCAGGCCAGCAGCGGGGTAAGATAGGAGTGATCAGGCTGACAGGCAGGCAGAGGGGTTAGGGGCAATCAGGCAGCCAGGCAGGCAGAGGGGTTAGGGGCGATCAGGCTGGCAGGGGCCAAGGTAGGGGCAATCAGGCCAGCAGTGGGGTAAGATAGGAGTGATCAGGCTGACAGGCAGGCAGAGGGGTTAGGGGCAATCAGGCAGCCAGGCAGGCAGAGGGGTTAAGGGCGATCAGGCTGGCAGGGGCCAAGGTAGAGGCAATCAGGCCAGCAGTGGGGCAAGCAGTTAGGAGCCAGTGGTCCTGGATTGAGAGAGGGATGTCCATCTGCCGTTTTAAACTCGCAGTCGGACATCCCCTGAGGGGTCCCAGATTGGAGAGGGTGCAGGCTGGGCTGAGGGACCCTCCCCGCATGGATTTCATGCACTGGGCCTCTAGTATGGAAATAAAAGGTACAAAATCCAAACCAAGTTAATTAGAGTCAGAGCTGATTTCCAGGTTTGCAATTTTTAACTAATTAGTTCAATTATTTATCATTTACCTACTTTTATTTATTCCTTCTTATCTTCGTTCCTCCAATATGTATTAACTATTTCAACAGGAAAGTGTTCAAAGTAAGGGAGCAGCACAGAGGGAGCAGGTGGTGAAAGGGAACTGAGTGTAGCCCACAAGATTTGTAAAAGTTTTGACTAAAAATGTGTTGTCCAAGATGAGGGCATAAAAGCAACTTTTTGGTGAAATATTCTGAAAGTAAAAGTTTCTGCTAATAAAGTTGCATCCATTTCAATTTCTTAGTTTAGTGTTTCTATGAAATAGAAATCTCATAAGGTGCTCAGTGAAGAAGGACTCCTCGATCACATAATTGGGGGAAAGAAAATTTATTCTCTTGGATATTTTACATTTCTGAAAAACCTAGAGTTCAAGAGACATCTTTAATGTGTCAGGATTTCCCCAAATCAGTTTACTTAAGGAACTCTTTCTTTCATTCACTTATTACTAAGTTAACGCTTTTAAGGAACATTTGAGAATGCTACCTTATTCTATTACCTAATAATGGTCTTTTGTTATGTAAGCAGAGCTTTTAGGGTCTGCTTTAAATGTTTAAGAGTTTTGAAAATTATATGTTTTATGTAATTATTGAAAGAAAAGATTTTGGAATTTTGAGCTACTAGGAGACTGAGAATGAGCCTAATTTAACTCTGCATGTTCCCTTAACACTTTTTAAGATTATGCTAGAATCGGAATATTCTGGTTCTGTTTAGAAGCTGGTCTAAGTTTCATTTTCAGTTCCACATAACTTTTACTACAAAACAGATCATCCCCAAACTTAGTGTATTATTTATTTTCACACTGATTTGTGGGTTGACTGGGCAGAGCCGGGCTATTCTCACTTAGAGTCTCTCATGTGATTGCTATTAAATATTGGCTGGTGCCCTAGTTAGGTGGTTCAGTTGGTTGGAGCATCGTCCCATACATCAAAATGTTGTGGGTTTGATTCTAGATCAGACACTTACCTATATTGTGGGGTAGATTCTCAGTTCAGGCACCTATAGGAGGCAACCCTTTGATATTTCTCTTCTCTCCTCCCCTCCCCTCCCCTCCCATTCCCTTCCCTTCTCCTCTCCTCTCCCGTCAGGGGAGGATAGGCTGCGAATGTAGCCCTTCAAAGGTTTGGCTAGGCTAGACCTACAAGATGGCACATTCCCATAACTGAAAGTGATGTTATCTGTCCTCTGGGAGCTTAGCTGTGGGTGGTGAGTGGAGCACTAATACATGGTTCTGAGATGAGAAGTCCTAAGAGCTTGCCAAACCCAGAAAGTAGAAGCTGACATTCTTTTAAGGCCTGGGGCAGAAATTGACAGGTTTCCTCTGGGTTTTATTGGTCAAAGCGATCACAGGGCCTGCCCAAACACTAGGAGGGGGCGGCAGGTGTGGGCATGAGATGCCCCTTCTCAATGGGAGGAATAACAACGGATTTGTGGCCACCTTCAATCTATGACTCTTCTCTGGGCTTCATTTTCTTTATCTATAAAGTAAAGGCTTTAAAAAAAGATAATAGCTAAGGCCACTACCAATTTCTAAACTTCTATGATCCAACAAGCACTATTTAAAATGAGAGAATTCTATTTTTCTAAGAGAGAGATCCATAGGAGAAAATGAAAATGATTTTTAAGTATACACTTGCACACCGTATTCTTTATCAAAAAAGGAAACAAAAAGAACACTACATTTATCTTCCAGGAAAATGGTTTTTGAAAGGAGATATCTAACCAAAACAACAGAGAAAAACCATCATTGATTTATTACAAACATTGAGATAGAAGTGTCTGTGACAGTTGGGGAAATAGGAGAGCGCATACATATCCGTTTCAGAAGACATTCTGAGTTTACTTATAGATGACTTACCATTCCCCCTGTCCTGTCCCCACTTCCTACCACCTCTCCTACACAGCCATGCACACATACCCATCTTATTCCCAAGCTGGGCAATTTCACATAGCAGGGCAGAGAGTCTCAGATTCTAAATGGCTTCAAGAAAAAGCTATTTTCAACATGTCTGGGTTTTGATACCTCCACTATGTTTGTCAGAGAAATCTAAAATCAGTGAACTTGTTGAAGTAAACCTTAAATAGGAAAAAACAAAAAGTTCACTTTTGAAGAATTCCTATCAGATCTTTGAACAAAAACTCCATGCTAGTAAAAGAAACACTTTAGATAATGATTAATGTGTGACTTTTACAAAAAAAAAAAAAAGATAGTAAAAGGTGGAACTGAACACAAAGCACAAAAACACCAACCATTAAGAAATTATGTGGGTAATAAGTAGAAAACCCAAAGGATTTGGGTGTTGGAGGAAAAAAAAGGGGAATAAGGAGCAAACTGGCCAACAATTAGGCCTGAACATTCCTATTCTCTAGCAAGGTCATGCCTGAGGTCTCCTGTTATATTATCATATAGTTTGCATAAAATTATAAAATGATCATGGGTAGTACCAATAATTGGAGAACCTAGATCCTTGTGACTGATTTTATTTTGTTATACTGAACTAAGTAGCTATTATGCAAAGCTACTCCCACTTTGAACATCCAAGTTACTGCATATTTTTGGATCCACCAAGCCACAGTGGGAAGGAGAAGCAGGGATCAAGAAGCTGGCATTTTGAAAGTCATCTTCGCTTAGTGATTAGCAATTAATAACAAATGTGCTCATTGAATTCTTCTTCCGAGTACTTTGATCTTGCACACATGGTTACTTAGGGCAGCATGAACTCGACTGGCTTTCATCAGTAATACTGATTAAACAGGAAG